TTTGGTACGGGAAGTTCCAGCAATTTGCCTTAAGGCACGATGCCTTAATTGCCTTAAGACAGAATTCCAGCTAGTTAAGTTTTTTTTCATCAATAACATTTTGAAATGTAGTTTAAATGTGATGATCGTGCTTGGAGTACAAGTCCAAAATCCCTAATAACAATAAAAATTAAACTAGTGGTAGCATCGTTCTTTAAGGAGGTTCTAGTGTAGAGACTTGAATTTTAGATCATTTTTAAATCATCATAAAAGGCAATCAATTTTTTATTATTATTTATTTGGCAACGTTACAGAGTACAGAAAAAATTAAAACAAAAGTTAATAATTTTAAAAATTAGCAATGTTTGAAATAGGGGATTTTAAAAAGTTGACACGTGACCGTGTACAGGATTGCAACCCTCCTATTAATACAAAAAAAAAATATTCATGTAGAATGATGTCGCTATGGTATATACTAGGATTAAGTTAAAAAATAATTTTGACAAAACGGCGACTATTTTGAAAAAGACCATTATTTGAGTTTCACGATTTTTAAAAATCGAGAAAATTAAAATTTAGGGATGAGTATATATTATACTAGAGAGAAGTCTATAAAGAAAATTCTCTGGAAATTTCAAGAGTTTCAAGATTTCAAAGTTTCGCAAAAGGATAGAAACAGAAGAAAATAATTCAAATTTCAAAAAATCTTCTCGTCCATATATTCTTGAATAGCTAAGCTTTAAAAATATGAAAGAAACAAAAAAAACGATTTTTTGGAATTTCCACACTAGAATACCCCCTCAACGCTAATTTGCTGGAACATTCCGCAATTTAAAACTTTAAAATTTTCAAATATCTTCGAAATTTTGAGAGATTAAAGATTTGAAGTGTTAGCATCTATAAAACCTATAAATAGAAAGAATTTCCATCATTTATATTATTTTAAATTTCATGCATATGCAAACATTCATTAATATTTAATTTATCCCTGAAGTTAGTGGACGTTCCAGAAATGGAATATTATGCTGCATTAGGAAGCGGTGAGGTATGTGTCAAAGGTCCCAATGTTTTCAAAGGATATTACAAGGATCCTGAAAAAACCTCAGAAACAATTGATGCTGATGGATGGCATCACACAGGCGACGTAGGCACTTGGCTACCAGTGAGTATTCAATTGTTTCGAATGTCTTATTGATTATTTTTAACAATGATATATTTTTCAGAATGGTACATTGAAAATTGTAGACAGACGCAAACACATATTTAAACTTTCCCAGGGGAGTATATTGTTCCTGAAAAAATTGAAAGCATTTATTTGAGGTCGCAGTACATTGAGCAAGTTTTTGTCTATGGAGAATCTCTGAAGGTTTGTTTGACACAATTTCAACTTTAGAGTTTTAGAGTTTGAAAATGTCGATTTGTTATTAACTTTAATTCAATTCCAGTCATGCATCGTAGCTATAGTGGTACCTGATGTGGACGTAGTAAAATGTTGGGCATCAGAAAATAAAATTCCTGGAACACTTAGCGTTCTGTGTAACAATCCCGAAGTCAAAGAATTAATATTAACTGATTTAATATCATGGGGCAAAGATGCTGGGCTTAAATCATTCGAACAGGTAATTAACATGATAATATAAATCAGTCATGAGAAGTATCACATATAAAGTTATATTAAATTTAATTAATTTTTCAGGTGAAAGACATATATCTGCATCCTGATCCATTTTCAGTGCAAAACGGTCTGTTGACTCCAACTCTCAAGAGTAAAAGACAACAAATTAAATCTTACTTTAAACCTCAACTTGAAGATATGTATTCAAAACTACAATAGGAAAAATATATTCATTAAAGATGATCAATTTTTCTATGATATATAGTTCATAAGACAATAATATTCAAGTAAAAAAATATACCACATTATGAAACTTGAAGAAACAACGTCAATTTGTATGAGTTGTAAAGAAGATGTCATTTATATATAGTGATGTGTAAGAAATTTCTACATTAAATTGTGTAATTTCAAGCATTATGATAGCCAAAAATTTAATTACTCTTCTTTTTTCTTGAAGTCACGCTAATGATCAAGTAGGTTGCAGAATGTATATATATAAGAGTAGTGAATTTTAATGCAGCCTGCCTGCAACAAAAACTTTGAATTTTTACATGATTTTCAAAAATGTATAAATTACTAATTGATAATCAAGTTTATATATAATATTTAATCAATGCAGCAAAAATATTATCGTTGATTGAGCCACCAATTATTATATAATAATTCTAATGTAATATATTTTAATGTACCATCGAACTTATAAAGCTTACATAGCAGTTGGGATAAATAATTTTGGTTTAATTGAAAAGAGTGAGTTTATTGAAAGAATTCCCAAAAATAGTTAATTCATAACAATTTAATATCTTAAAATAATCATAAAATTACAATGTATATAGTCTGTACAAAACTTTTACCACAATTTATAATTTTGTACCTTTGTGGAAATATTAATTCATGCTTAATTTTTGATTAGTAATACAGACTCATAAAAGCCTTTTAAAATTAAAATTCAATTCAGGAATAGAATAGATCTAACTTATATTAATGTAGAAATAGTACTTTCCATGAATTTAATGTCCGATCATACAACATTACAGATGAATGACTTTGTTAAATTAGAAATAATAATTAATAATTATAAATACTTTCATACGTTCATTGCCAAAAGATATTCTCATAAACGGGTCCATCAAATCCAACAAATTTCAATTACTTGAATTTAAAATATAATATATGCATTCATAAAACATAAAAATACTATGACTTTTGTCATTTGTGGTAAAACTTGTACTAATACTTGGCAACGAATGAATAAAAAGCAACATCTATGATGAAAAGGATAATTGAGAACTATATTGTAATTGATAATTAAATCAAAATTCAATTAAATATTGGTAGAATATGAAAAAAGAATTGGCAAATCATTAAATCGGATTTATTACAATATTTAGAAAAGGGTCCTGAAAGGGTTCTTTTACATTAGTACCTATAAAATTTGATTAGGATGTCATGTACTAAAAAAGTAATCATTTTGCTACGCTCTAAAACATTCAACTTACTAGTATATTACATTTTTATGAAACATTGACTTGAACACGATGACAAGGTGCCAAGCCCAAATCGAAATTTTACTTAGATTTTTAGTTAATATTTATCTCTGATCAGCTGGCATGATAAACTTAATGATCTGCTTGATTTTCTTTAAGATTTTTATTGTATCAAGAGCAAGATAGTGATATTTAGGTTTTAATATATTCTTGTTATAATTTATTATATATAATATTTATATTATATATAAAAATGATATGTTCAGAGTTAAATCTTTTCTATTATTTAATCAAAAGATGCTCTTTAGTATCTTGTACTTTACATAGTAAATGAATTTGTTTAACCAAATATTATTATCATATTAGGGTTAAATACAATGACACTATTAGGAATAATGTATTGAATATCGATATGTACTTTGCACCAAAGAATTTGTGGTTAGACATTAATTTTCGATTAGGGTCATTCTATATAAATCTAAATCGATTTTGTACATTGGCATTATGTACCATATACAAGCATTTATGAGGTGAACTACACCAGCACATACAAATTATTAAATATAATTTTATATTAGAATGACCCTACATCATTTTTATTATTTATAAAAAAAAAAATCATTTGGAAAAGCATAAAGTATTTTCTTGTAATGATTTCTTTTCTTAAAATAATCTTATCCAGATAAATTGTAAATAATCATTGTAAATGAATAAATTATGTAGAAATAGAATGTAGGACAATAGTATCTCGCGAATCTAGATTGATTCATTAGGAAATTGAATTCGAATGAAAGTAGACATTGTTAAATTAGTGAAAACGATTAATAGGATATCAGGATAAATGGTAATTAAGAAGGTAATTAATTTCCAATACTTTATAACACTGTTATCATTACATGTCTCAATACTAATGCTGAATGGAAATTATAAAGCAGTTGGACATAGAACCATGGTGTGCACTTACTGTGCAAAAGTTTTGCATTAAATAAATCGTAATATTTCGACAAAGTAGTCCTGATAGCTTTAAATTAGGAAATTTATTGATGATGTGGATTCTAACAAATTGCGTTGAGAAATGAGTGCAGAACTGTTGTTAAATAAAAGTCTGATTTTTCAAAATTTTCTTATGTAGGTACTTAATTTTGGTCTTACAAAAGCCTTGATGATTTATAGCTTATACTCTCTGTAACGAATCTTAGATAAATCATCTAACATAATGAAAATATAATATTACCCTATACATTCACAAAGTATTTTAAGCTAATTGCAATAATACATTTTAGATTATTACTATTAAGCAAATATTGGATAAATATTTTTCAATAACTAAGGATGTGTGGTGCACAGATAATGAAATTAAATTGGGTAATATTAAAATTTAGTTATGAATCTCAAGTTTATGTCATTTCAAGCTCTTTTCTGATATTTTGATTGGTACATCAACATTATCTTTTAAAATGCAAATGTTATTGCCTATTAGAAACATGCAAATACCGTTCCGATATTGTATAAGTTAGAAAAGAGCTTAGACTAGATATTTTTACTTCATATACTCATAAATAAAATATGTATTGTTTCAATTCGACTTATTTTGTTGGTAATAAATGATATAATAAATATATACACAATAATAGTTTATTTTGTTTATGACTCTACATATTCATATTATATTTAATTTAACAACCAAAAATGCAACTTAGGTGTTAATAAACAAATCATTTCCTTGAAGAAGTTTAATAGAATAGACAAAAAATCTGTTTTTTTAATAACTCTCTACATTTCGAACTACCCAATCATTTGCTTGAGACCTTTATATGCATATAAAGTTTTTTGTTCATTTCACACTATTTGAACATAATTTATCTGAACCCACCCATCAAAATTTACCTTCCGATACTGACTGTAGTAAATGTACCACAATGAGTGTTGTGTAAATCTATGTTTACTACATAAGTGTTGTGAAACTACTACTGCAATGAATGTGAATCTACACCAATCAGTGTGAATCTGCTCAAATAATTGAAAATCTACTACGAGTGAAAAGTTGCTAGTAAAATCTATGGGAATATGATAAATATATCAGAGTCGTATCTGCAGATCAAGTTTGCCCCGGTCACCGTACAACGTGCGGTCAATAAAAAATAGTGGGCCGCATGGCATCGTGCCTTAAGGCAATTGCTGAAACTTCCCATACCGTAATTAAACATTCGAAAAATGAAAATAATCAATAAATGTTTTAAATAATTTCAAATAGATTATTTATTATAAATACAAACTGTAAACTTATAATAAGTGCTTTTTAAATTAGGCGACGAGCGTATTCAACTTTGTGTATGTTTATAACAATTTTTTTTTAATTTGATTTTTTTTGATAATATAGAAATTTTTCAAAATTTTCAATTTCTTTTAGAAGTTTGAATTTTTTTGGATTTTTTTTTAAAAACGTTTTTTTTTTAATTTCCTGAGAATTTGGAAATTTTTGAAAACTTTGTATGATAAGATTTTTTTTTTAAATCTTTACATTTTTTTTAAGTTTAAAATTTTTGTGATTTTTTTCAAAAAACGTTTTTTTTATAATTTTTTCAGAATCTAGAAATTTTTGAAAATATTCGATTTTTTCTTAAATTTCGAAATATTCTCAAATTTTTGTAAAAATCGTTTTTTTTAATTTTGATATTTTTTAAAATTTTTCAAAATTTAGTTTTTCATTTTAGAAAATTATAAAAAGTTTTGAAAATTTGTTTTTTTTGAAAATTTTGATTTTTGTTTTGAAAATTTTCAAAATTACGAAATTTTCTGTAAAAGCATTATTTGCACACGGTCTGCTCATCAATCAAAATGTTTTTTGAAGTAATTTAA